TCAGCGTACGTTTTGATCATTTGTTTCGTGAAAAGGGCCTATTTATTCGTTTTCGAATACATTTTAAAAAGCTACTTGATATTTTGATGTTCAAATGTGGATGGGGTTAAATTTGGAATGCCTGGTCAAGTGCAGAGCCAACACTTCCTGTCCTTTCAAAGTGGTGTTCACACTTCTAACTCCATTTCTATGAATCTGTTATCTATTAATTAATAGCTGTCCATACCGTGCCACTGTGCCAAGGTAAGATTTTCGACGACAGGTTGTTAGCAAGTAATTTTGCCATATTGACACAGATATTATTGTTAGAAAAACAAGGCCAGCTATAGTATTTTAAAGAAGGGCTGTTGATGGCCGCTAAGGCTTCTAAAGGGTTAAACATTTTTGGCAGTGCCAGACTGACTGACTGAGCTACCATAATACCCATGGCCTGTCCATAAACAAACCCTAGTGCCTACTGTCGAGAATGTAGACACTTGTAGAGATCTGAGAGGGATTGATGTGTGGTGATATGTTGAGAGCTCCACCTTACCCTCTGATAGGCTTGGTGGAATTTTGGCATTGTTGCTTACACCTGTCCAATTCTCTCAGATCTCCACAAGTGTCTAGGGGTAAGGGCTTGGGGTTGTTTCTGGACAGGACACCACAACCCTTCGGGTGTGTGGTGGACCAACAGCACGTCACATGAGGCATTGGTTAAATGTATAAGTCCATTGCTATATACACACAGATTTGCTCAGGTGTAAGCAGGACACACCCATGGCACCCTATCAGGCTGGTCAGACAGGTCTGGGTAGCTGGATACCTGCTGTAAAAAGTGAAAGGATATATTTACATGTCTACTATTCACACCCTTGCTTCATGCCAGCTAGTTAGATGTGCAACCACTGACTTAATATAGCTAGGGCATATCTCTAGTCTAACAATAGATACTGTTGTTTTGGCTATATACAGTGAGGGGAAAAAAGTATTTGATACCCTGCTGATTTTGTACGTTTGCCCACTGACAAAGAAATGATCAGTCTATCATTTTAATGGTAGGTTTATTTGAACAGTGAGAGACAGAATAACAACAAAATAATCCAGAAAAACGCATGTCAAAAATGTTATAAATTGATTTGCATTTTAATGAGGGAAATAAGTATTTGACCCCCTCTCAATCAGAAAGATTTCTGGCTCCCAGGTGTCTTTTTATACAGGTAACGAGCTGAGATTAGGAGCACACTCTTAAAGGGAGTGCTCCTAATCTCAGTTTGTTACCTGTATAAAAGACACCTGTCCACAGAAGCAATCAATCAATCAGATTCCAAACTCTCCACCATGGTCAAGACCAAAGAGCTCTCCAAGGATGTCAGGGACAAGATTGTAGACCTACACAAGGATGGAATGGGCTACAAGACCATCGCCAAGCAGCTTGGTGAGAAGGTGACAACAGTTGGTGCGATTATTCGCAAATGGAAGAAACACAAAAGAACTGTCAATCTCCCTCGGCCTGGGGCTCCATGCAAGATCTCACCTCGTGGAGTTGCAATGATCATGAGAACGGTGAGGAATCAGCCCGGAACTACACGGGAGGATCTTGTCAATGATCTCAAGGCAGCTGGGACCATAGTCACCAAGAAAACAATTGGTAACACACTACGCCGTGAAGGACTGAGATCCTGCAGCGCCCGCAAGGTCCCCCTGCTCAAGAAAACACATATACAGGGCCGTCTGAAGTTTGCCAATGAACATCTGAATGATTCAGAGGAGAACTGGGTGAAAGTTTTGTGGATCAGCCAGGGCATTGAAAATGGGTCGTGGATGGGTATTCCAGCATGACAATGACCCAAAATACACGGCCAAGGCAACAGAGTGGATCAAGAAGAAGCACATTTAAGGTCCTGGAGTGGCCTAGCCAGTCTCCAGACCTTAATCCCATAGAAAATCTGTGGAGGGAGCTGAAGGATCGAGTTCTAAACGTCAGCCTCGAAACCTTAATGACTTGGAGAAGATCTGCATACATTTACGTCATTTAGCAGACGCTCTTATCCAGAGCAATGAGGAGTGGGACAAAATCCCTCCTGAGATGTGTGCAAACCTGGTGGCCAACTACAAGAAACGTCTGACCTCTGTGATTGCCAACAAGGGTTTTGCCACCAAGTACTAAGTCATGTTTTGCAGAGGGGTCAAATACTTATTTTCCTCATTAAAATGCAAATCAATTTATAACATTTTTTACATGCGTTTTTCAGGATTTTGTTGTTGTTATTCTGTCTCTCACTGTTCAAATAAACCTACCATTAAAATTATAGACTGATCATTTCTTTGTCAGTGGGCAAATGTACAAAATCAGCAGGGGATCAAATACATTTTTCCCTCACTGTAGCATAATTTAAAAAGATTACCAATAGTTAGCAAGGTAGCTAGGATATACTATATCAGTCAGATAACCATTTACAGTAACAGCAGTTTATTAGTAAGTCAATACACTAAATCTTATGCAGAAACTGAGAAATCTTACCGTGGCACGGTATGGGCAGCTATTAATTAATAGATAATAGAATGGAGTTAGAAGGGTGACCGCCTACTTTGAAAGGACAGGAAGTGTTGGCTGTGCACTTGACCAGGCATTCCACATTTAACCCCACCCACATTTGAACATCAAAATATCAAGTAGTTCTTTTAGTTTTATATGCAAAAAAACCAAAAACAAGCTTTTGTAAATTTGTATTCAAAAACAAATAAATATGCCTTTTTCACGAAACAAATTATCAAAACGTACGCTGACCGTAATCTTACATCAGGAATGTTGTTTAATGGTGTCCGCAAAGTAGGCTAATTACCATAACGTAGACGGCAAAATGTTCTGTCAATCTTCGAAATCAACATTCATTCCGGCTGTTTTTTTAAATTGCGTGCAGTATCACACAAGCTCTTTATCACTTGACTGTCATTCATAAAATCCTTTCCTGAATCAGCTGATGTTGCACGATAATGTCCCCAAGCAACTAAACAGCTACACATTTACATTTACATTTTAGTAATTTAGCAGACACTCTTATCCAGAGCGACTTACAGTAGCGAGTGCATACATTTTCATACTTTTTTCATACTGGTCCTCTGTGGGAATCAAACCCACAATCCTGGCGTTGCAAGCCCCATTATTGAAGAACCCCGTTAATGACATTATTGGTTTGTTTTATTAATCATATTAAAGTTCCTCTTTCTGTTTAAAGCATTGGATTTTGCAAGCACACATTATTTTGGATATGTGTGCCCATGAAAACTGTTTTCACATCGTAACATAGGGAGATACGAAATGTTAGGAGGTTACAGTAAACTTCCGAGATCTCCATACAAAAAGAGTTCAACAGCGATGTCCAGGAATTTCACAGGATCAAGGTCAATGTGTAATTCAATTGTTAAATGCTTAGTATATGAGAACAGTATCATAAATGTAAGGAAAGAAAGGTAGTGCTTTGTCACATGATTTTTGCCAAATATGTGAACTCAAAGCATGAGAAAGGGTTTAAACATAGGTTTTGATTCAACTAATTTGTTCCCCTTTATCTTAATGTATTCACATGAGAAGAAAAAAAAGGCTAATGACTTTGTAACAGCGCCAAACAGTTGTCCACTATAAGAAATGCTCACTGGTACCCTTGTTTATAGAAAGATCCACTTAAGTAAAAATACTTTAAAGTACTTTCTATGGGTATCTGTCCTCTTACTGACAACTTTTACTTTTACTCCACTACATTTCTAATGAAAATAATATACTTTTTACTCCATACATTGTCCCTGACACCCAAAAGTACTTGTTACATTTCAAATGCTTAGCAGGAAAATTCAAATTCACGCACTTATCAAGAGAACATCTCTACTGCCTCTGATCTGGCGGACTCACGAAACACATGCTTTGTTTGTAAATTGTCTGAGTGTTGGAGTGTGCCCCTGGCTATCCGTACATTTCAAAAACAAAAATCGTGCCGTCTGGTTTGCTTAATATACTACTTAAGTCTGAAAGTATTTGGTTTTAAATATACTTAAGTATCAAAAGTAAAAGTATAAATAATTTCACAAGGAATACTTAAGTATATTTAAAACCAAATACTTTCAGACTTAAGTAGTATTTTACTGGGTGACTCACTTTTTCTTGTCATTTTTTTATTAAGGTAGTATCTTTAATTTTACTCAAGGATGAAAATTGGGTACCTTTTCCCACTAATGCTCCTCTGTCTCCACGCTCGGATCTGATTTATTTTGCTCAGAACTTCTTTGTTGTTGTTGCACATGACCTGCCGTTACCATGACAACCACCCCAAAATGTAAAGGAACAGTGACAGGAAATGAGCATGGTATCTGTGTGCTACTTCAGAGGCTACATCAGTGTGAATACGCAAATCTTATATGGGTCACATGTACAACTGAGTGTGGATATATAGAAAAAAAATCAAATTTGGGTTCTTAGTAGTGATAGGGGAAAATATCGATACATATGGGGATATTTTTTACAATATATTGTTTTGATTAACGCAATTTATTATTATTAACACATTTTCTAATGGCTCTCGTCCCTCTGCAGCAGACATACGGTGAGCAATATTTTTGGATCATCGCAATGAAATCACAGCATCTAATCGCAATACATATTGAAACGGGAGTATCGCAATACATATTGTACCGGCACCTAAGTATCGTGATGATATTGTCTCTTGAAGTCCCTGGCAATTCCCAGCCTTAGTTCCTAGAGTGGCTGTGTAAACACAGCCATAGTGTGTGTGCCAGAGTGTGGTTCACATTCACTCATCTCAGCAGCCACAACGACATAGACAAAATCCTATAGCACTGTGTGTCACACACCAGAACAAACTCTCACCACTACTCCACAGCCACACACACACACCTCTAACCACACAGTAGGTCTCAGGACTGAACTAATGCATCTCACAATGCCCCAACAGATCACCTATTAGATATGAACTCAGCAAATCTGAAAGCTCTCACACAGACTCACCATGGAGATGGCAGTTCTTAAGTACACTACATACCCAGCTCACTTAGGCCTAGGTAATAACCCAACTCACTGTGGTGAGTTAGTCAACCCCACTGTTATTACCAGATTTTTCTTTGGTTTAGGGATTTCATGTGAACAATGCATTGGCGTCAGAGCGACACCATTTTGTTCTGAAGGCTGTATTTTAATGCCACAGAGTTACATGTGTCAGCTGGTTTAGCTCAAAGTGTACAGGTCTGGATGTTAAAAAAACAAAACACAAAGTGCACTTACGCGTCACTATTATGAGTCTTAAGTGTTTCTCCTCTGACAAGCCTCCTCTCTCTGCTCTCTCTAACTGGATGCCCCTAGCATGATGTCACAATCCTTCTGGAATATGTGTGAGAGTGAGTTCCATCTTTCGCAGCTGCCTGTGAGCTAACGGACCCTTCTACCCCCTCCGCCAATAGAAAAGCCAGCTGGACACACTGATAGTAGTGGGGTCACACACACTTTGCAAGGGTAGTGGCAACACTCCAAGTACAGAAAAGGAAGAGTATAAGATAAATCACCCTAAGGTTTCTGTTCGTGTCTATGTTTTGCTATGAGCAGCAGCAAGTCGACTTGGCCTAATTGTCTTCACACTGTGTCTTTATAGTGAGTCCAGACCAGATTGGTCATGTGAGGATCTGTGTCAAACACAGGTGAATATAAGACACTCATTTGTTCCAGCAGAGAGAGATGTCATCCATTTTCTGTTTGGTTCAGTTTTAGCTGTGGTTGTGCATGATGTGACAGAATAGTAAGTATAGGCCTGCCTAACCTTTCACTGTATGATAAGAGTGGTGAAAGTCAATGTCTTGTTGGAGAAAGGGCTCTTGACTCTGACAATGGAACAACTCTCTCCTGCCCGCTTCATTAACCCCTTAGAGTTGATGGGCCCCTGTGGAAAATCAATTAGCATAATAAAAAAATCCCCATCAAAATCTGTCAGTTTAAACTATCTGTTGTTTTGCATGGGCTGCCTCTCAATCCACCGCATCCGCCGATGTCGCCCTTCCGCATCTGCGGTGAACGGTGGCAGAGCTAGACGAAAACGTATGTAGCGTCTGAACGGTTTGGCCTACAAACTATTATGACCCCTCTTGGCATTCTTAAACCCCCCTCAGTTTAAGCCTCTTAAGGATTAAATGAAGACTAACACAGTTAGGAAGTGTCATGTCTTGTAGCTGATGTCCAGAGCAAAGGGTTTTGCTCAGAGGCTAGGATTTCTGGTCCTTTTCAAGTGTCATCCGGTACCTCTACACTCATCTCACTCTTTTTCTCTCTCTCGCTCTCTTTCTCTCACATACACACCCTTGGATTAATCAGTAATGGGAAAGATCATGCAGTGGGAGGGAGAGTGGGCTATGACTCAGGAGTTTCCAGGAAGGAGGAGGACTGAGTGAACAAACACGCACACACTAGACTCTCCTGAGCTGACAAGCCCATCTAATAAAATCTCACGTTGTGATAATTCACTTGACTGAAAACCAAGATAATCCTTGTGTTTTTAAACACAAGCTCTAGCCTGGACTATTATCGGCCAGTCTGCACTGTCTGCACAGCGCGTTATCGACCCAGAACATATCGTTTTTTCTGCCGGAATCACTGATTCACTGGACCTTTAACACCGGATCATCGTAGCTAGATAGCTGCAATCAAATGGACGTTGTTGTTGGCTAATCAGCCTCGAGCTAGCCGCGAGCCAGGCCCTTCTCCCGGCTATCTACCTCTCTGTCAACCGGACGGGACCTCCTAGTGTTGACACGGAGCCCCGCCGATCCAACACGACTGGTCTGCCGACGAAATCGTCTGATGCGATTACAACAGGTTTCCCGTTATGACGTCGACCACGAAGATCCATCTGCTAGCCCCGGCCCGCTAGCACACGCTAGCCGTGGCCTCTTGCTCGCCAGTGCTATAACAGCCCCCGAACTACCTCCGAACTCTCCTATTGCTGTTCACCAGACCTTATGATAACTCGGCTATACAGCTGATGCCTGCAGGACTGTTCCTTTATACGGTACCGCATCCTGTTTATGTTTAGCCTCAGCCCAAACTTTGTCGCCATTACCAGCTGTTGTCTTAGCTCTCTCGAATAACACCTGTGATTGCTTTATGCCTCTCTCCCATGTCAATATGCCTTGCTTATTGCTGTTTCGGTTATTTCTTATTGTACTATTTCACTGTAGATCCCCCAGCCCAGTTCAACCTGCCATAGATAGCTCCTTTGTCCCACCCCCCATAAACGCGGAGACTGACTCAATCGGTGCCTCCAGTGATGCTATCTCTTTCATCGTTACCCAACGCTTAGGTTTACCTCCACTGTACTCATATCATTCCATATCCTTTTCTGTACATAATGCCCTGAATCTATTCTACAACGCCTGGAAACCTGCCCCCTTTTTTCTCTGTACCCAACGCACTAAAAGACCAGTACTTAAAGCCTTTAGCCGTATCCTTATTCTACTGTTCCTCTGGTGATGTAGAGGTTAACCCAGGCCCTGTAGCCCCCAGTATCACTCCTACTCCCCAGGCGTTATCTCTTGTTGACTTCTGTAATCGTAAAAGCATTGGTTTCTTGCACGTTAACATCCGAAGCCTCCTCCCTATGTTTGAGCTATTCACTGCGTTAGCACACTCCGCCAACACTGATGTCCTAGCAGTGTCTGAATCCTGGCTTAGGAAGGCCACCAAAAATTCAGAAATGTCCATCCCCAACTACAACATTTTCCGTCTCGATAGAACTGTCAAAGGGGGTGGGGTTGCAATCTACTGTAGCGATAGCCTGCAGAGCTCTATCGTACTATCCAGGTCTGTGCCCAAACAGTTTGAGCTTCTACTTCTAAAAATCCACCTTTCCAGAAATAAGTCTCTCACTGTTGCCGCTTGCTACAGACCCCCCTCAGCCCCGAGCTGTGCCCTGGACACCATATGTGAACTGATTTCCCCCCATCTATCCTCAGAGATCGTACTGCTTGGTGACCTAAACTGGGATATGCTTAACACCCCGGCCAACCTACAATCTAAACTAGATGCCCTCGATCTCACACAAATGATCAACGAACCTACCAGATACAACCCTAAATCTGTAAACATGGGCACCCTCATAGATATCATCCTGACAAATTTACCCTCTAAATACACCTCCGCTGTCTTCAACCAGGATCTCAGCGATCACTGCCTTATTGCATGCGTCCGTAATGGGTCCGCGGTCAAACGACCACCCCTCATCACTGTCAAACACTTTAGCGAGCAGGCCTTTCTAATTGACCTGGCCCGGGTATCCTGGATGGATATTGACCTCATTCCGTCAGTAGAGGATGCCTGGTTGTTCTTTTAAAAGTGCTTTCCTCTCAATCTTAAATAAGCATGCCCCATTCAAAAAATTCAGAACTAAGAACAGATATAGCCCCTGGTTCTCCTCAGACTTGACTGCCCTTGACCAGCACAAAAACATCCTGTGGCATACTGCATTAGCATCGAACAGCCCCCGCGATATGCAACTTTTCAGGCAAGTCAGGAACCAATATACACAATCAGTTAGGAAAGCAAAGGCTAGCTTTTTCAAACAGGAATGTGCATCCTGTAGCACTAACTCCAAAAAGTTTTGGGACACTAAAGTCCATGGAAAATAAGAGCACCTCCTCCCGAATGCCCACTGCACTGAGGCTGGGAAACACTGTCACCACCGATAAATCTACAATAATCGAGAATTTCAACAAGCATTTTGCTACGGTTGGCCATGCTTTCCACCTGGCTACCACTACCCCGGCCACCAGCTCTGCACCCTCCGCTGCAACTTGCCTATGCCCCCCCCCCCCCCCCCCCCCCCCGCTTCTCCTTCACACAAATTCAGACAGCTGATGTTCTGAAAGAGCTGCAAAATCTGGACCCCTACAAATCAGCTGGGTTAGACAATCTGGACCCTTTCTTTCTAAAAATTAGCCGCCGAAATTATCTCAACCCTTATTTCTAGCCTGTTCTACCTCTCTTTCGTAACGTCTGAGATCCACAGAGATTGGAAAGCTGCCGCGGTCATCCCCCTCTTCAAAGGGGGTGACACTCTAGATCCAAACTGTTACAGACCTATATCCATCCTGCCCTCGAAAGTATTTGAAAGCTAAGTTAACAAACAGATCACCGACCATTTCGAATCCCACCGTACCTTCTCCGCTATGCAATCCGGTTTCCGAGCTGGTCATGGGTGCACCTCAGCCTCGCTCAAGGTCCTAAACGATATTATAACCGCGATCGATAAAAGACAGTACTGCGCAGCCGTCTTTACCGACCTGGCCAAGGCTTTCGACTCTGTCAACCACCGCATTCTTATTGGCAGACTAAATAGCCTTGGTTTCTCTAATGACTGCCTCGCCTGGTTCACCAACTACTTCTCAGATAGAGTTCAATGTGTCAAATCGGAGGGCCTGTTGTCTGGACCTCTGGCAGTCTCTATGGGGGTGCCACAGGGTTCAATTCTCGGGCCGACTCTATTCTCTGTGTATATCAATGATGTTGCTCTTGCTGCTGGTGACTCTCAGATCCACCTCTACGCAGACGACACCATTTTGTATACATCTGGCCCTTCATTGGACACTGTGTTAACAAACCTCCAAACGAGCTTCAACGCCATACAACACTCCTTTCCGTAGCCTCCAACTGCTCTTAAACACTAGTAAAACTAAATGCATGCTCTTCAACGGAACGCTGCTTGCACATGCCCACACGACTAGAATCACTACTCTCGGCGGGTCTGACCTAGAGTATGTGGACAACTACAAATACCTAGGTGTCTGGTTAGACTGTAAACTCTCCTTCCAGACTCACATTAAGCATCTCCAATCAAAAGTTAGATCTAGAATCAGCTTCCTATTTTGCAACAAAGCCTCCTTCACTCATGCTGCCAAACATGCCCTCGTAAAACTGACTATCCTACCGATCCTTGACTTCGGCGATGTCATTTACAAAATAGCCTCCAACACTCTATTTAGACTACATCCAATTTGCTATCACAGTGCCATCCGTTTTGTCACCAAAGCCCATATACTACCCACCACTGTGACCTGTACGCTCTTGTTGGCTGGCCCTCACTACATATTCGTTGCCAAACCCACCGGCTCCAGGTCATCTATAAATCACTGCTAGGCAAATCCCCGTCTTACCTTAGCTCACTGGTCACCATAGCAACACCCACCCGTAGTCTGCGCTCCAGCAGGTATATCTCACTGGTCATCCCCCAAAGCCAACACCTCCTTTGGTCGCCATTCCTTCCAGTTCTCTGCTGCCAATGACTGGAACAAAAAAAAAAAAAAAATCTCTGAAGCTGGAAACTCTTATCTCCCTCACAAAATGTACGCGTCAGAGCAGTTTACCGATCACTGCACCTGTACACAGCCATTCTGAAATTAGCCCACCCAACTACCTCATCCCCATATTGTTATTTATTTTGCTAATTTGCACCCCATGATCTCTATTTGCACATCATCTTTTGCACATCTGTCATTCCAGTGTTAATACGAAATTGTAACTATTTTGCACTATGGCCTATTTATTGCCTTACCTCCATAACTTACTACATTCGCTCACACTGTATATATATTTTCTGTTTGTATTTTTGACTTTGTTTTGTTTATCCCATATGTAACTCTGTGTTGTTGTTTTTATCGCACTGCTTTGCTTTATCTTGGCCAGGTCGCAGTTGTAAATGAGAACTTGTTCTCAACTGGCTTACCTGGTTAAATAAAGGTGAAATAAAAAAAGGGTGTCAGGATTAGTGTAAGGAATCTTTTGGAAATGATCACATGAATAGATTTTCTTGTCTTTGTAGTTTCCAGTAGAGCACTCACAATCACATCTTTCATTTGTGCTTGTGTTTTTCTTTTATCCCCCTGTTCAGTTAGAGAAACTCCAACTGTCTCCAATGTCTCCTGTGTCAACATCACGTCCATTATCGGTCAGAACATAACCATGGGCGCCTGCTCTAATGAAACCTGCTCAGGTAAGGACTAATACCATCACCTGGTTCATTTAAAGGCCTGTCCAGAGGGATTAGATGTTTTTTCTAATTCCGGTGACTGTCACTTTGTTAACATGAAACAAAAGTCTACCTTCAACAGGAAGTGACGGATCTAGACATATGTAGAGATTCTATATCTTTGTTCTGTGGTCTTAGTTGCTTTGTCCCAACACTCTAAAATGCTTCCCTTCTTTCCTAATTCCTTTGTCCCTGCCTTTCACCACCCCTTGGCTCCTTCCTCCCATCCCTCGGGGTGAAAGCTATTTAAATGAATTCACTCTATTACATTCACCAACCCAGTCCTGTCAGATCACAAGGGAAGGCAGGAGGGAAAGGGAAGGAAGCATTTTGGGACTATTCAGACATAGACACCGCCATAACAACCAGGCTATCTCCTTCTTTCCTGCTTTTTACCCTGTCTGTCTCACGGTGTCCGTCTCTTCAGTGGGACCTCCAACTGTTGCTACTACAGTCGTAACTGACACCCCTGCCCCACCCACAATCTCCCACTCTCCTCCCCCCACCACTGCTGCTCCACTTACCCCTACGGCCAGCAATGCAACTAACAGCAGCACCCCTGAGCCCGAGCCCACAGCAGGTAACCAGCCCAAATAAGCATCTCGTCTGCTCCCCTCAAATCAGTGTATGTCTGCTGTGTGACTTGATTATTCTTTTGAGGGAGTATTTTTATGTCATATTTTAAATATGGTGAAATAGTCAACTGTTTTTGTATGTTGGTGAAATGCTACTAAACTGAGATCTCACCGCTGGTTACAGCTGACCTGACCACTGCAGTACCAACTGCCCTGCCCACCGCTAACGGCACCGTCCCAGTCTCTGCCACAACGCATGCTTCAAGTAAGTTCCCATGCCAGCCCAGTCTGGTATCAAATCAATAACCCAGACTCTTTATTTATGGCCGCTTGTAGATCACCAAGGATGCCATAGAAAGCATTACTGAATAAAAATCAATATGGATTTTAAAAAAGGAAATATGACATTTATATAAGTATTCAGACCCTTTACTCAGCACTTTGTTGAAGCACCTTTGGCAGCGATTACAGCCTTGAGTCTTCGTGGGTATGACGCTACAAGCTTGGCACACCTGTATTTGGGGAGTTTCTCCCATTCTTCTCTGCAGATCCTCTCAAGCTCTGTCAGCTTGGGTGGGGGGCATCGCTGAACAGCTATTTTCAGGTCTCTCCAGAGATGTTCGATCGGGTTCAAGTCCGGGTTCTGGCTGGGCCACTCAAGGACATTCAGAGACTTGTCCAGAAGCCACTCCTGCATTGTCTTGGCTGTGTGCTTAGGGTCGTCCTGTTGGAAGGTGAACCTTAGCCCCAGTGTGAGGTCCTGAGTGCTCTGGAGCAGGTTTTCATCAAGGATCTCTCTGTACTTTGCTCCGTTCATCTTTCCCTCGATCCTGACTACCTGTCTCCCAGTCCCTGCCACTGAAAAACATCCCTACAGCATGATGCTGCCACCACTATGCTTCACCGTGGGGATGGGGCCAGGTTTCCTCCAGACGTGATGCTTGGCATTCAGGCCAAAGAGTTCAATCTTGGTTTCATCAGACCAGAGAATATTCTCATGGTCTGAGTCCTTTAGGTGCCTTTTTGGAAACTCCAAGTGGGCTGTCATGTGCCTTTTACTGAGGAGTGGTTCCGTCTGGCCAATCTACCATAAAGGCCTGATTGGTAGTGCTGCAGAGATGGTTCTCCCATCTCCACAGAGGAACTCTGCAGCTCTGTCAGAGTGACCATTGGGTTCTTGGTCACCTCCCTGACCATGGCCCTTCTCCCCCGATTGCTCAGTTTGGCCGGGTGGCCAGCTCTAGGAAGAGTCTTGGTGGTTCCGAACTTCAACCATTTAAGAATAATGGAGGCCAACCTGTTCTTGGGGACCTTCAATGCTACAAAAAAGGGTACCCTTCCCCAGATCTGTGCCTCGACACAATCTTGTCCCAGAGCTCTACGGACAATTCATTTGACCTCATGGCTTGGTTTTTGCTCTGACATGCGCTGTCAACTGTGGGACATTATATAGACAGGTAGTTGAAGTCAGAAGTTTACATACACTTAGGTTGGAGTCATTAAAACTTGTTTTTCAACCACTCGACAAATGTCTTGTTAACAAACTATAGTTTTGGCAAGTCGGTTAGGACATCTACTTTGTGCATGACACAAGTCGTTTTTCCAACTAGTGTTCACAGACAGATTATTTCACTTATAATTCACTGTATCACAATTCCAGTGGGTCAGAAGTTTACATACACTTAAGTTGACTGTGCCTTTAAACAGCTTGGAAAATTCCAGAAAATGATTTCATGGCTTTAGAAGCTTCTGATAGGCTAATTGACATCATTTGAGTCAATTGGAGGTGTACCTGTGGATGTATTTCAAGGCCTACCTTCAAACTCAGTGCCTCTTTGCTTGACATCATGGGAAAATCTAAAGAAATCAGCCAAGACCTCAGAAAAAAATTGTAGCCCTCCACAAGTCTGGTTCATCCTTGGGAGCAATTTCCAAACGCCTGAAGGTACCACGTTCATCTGTACAAACAATAGTACGCAAGTGTAAACAACATGGGACCACGCAGCCGTCATACCGCTCAGGAAGGAGACGCGTTCTGTCTCCTAGAGATTAACGTACTTTTGTGCGAAAAGTGCAAATCAATCCCAGAACAACAGCAAATGACCTTGTGAAGATGCTGGAGGAAACAGATACAAAGTGTCTATATCCACAGTAAAACGAGTCCTATATCAACATAACCTGAAAGGCCGCTCAGCAAGGAAGAAGCCACTGCTCCAAAACCGCCATAAAAAAGCCAGACTACGGTTTGCAACTGCACATGGGGACAAAGATCGTACTTTTTGGAGAAATGTCCTCTGGTCTGATGAAACAAAAATAGAACTGTTTGGCCATAATGACCATCGTTATGTTTGGAGGAAAAAGGGGTAGGTTTGCAAGCCGAAGAACACCATCCCAACCGTGAAGCACAGGGGTGGCAGCATCATGCTGTGGGGGTGCTTTGCTGCAGGAGGGACTGGTGCACTTCACAAAATAGATGGCATCATGAGGAAGGAAAATGATGTGGATATATTGAAGCAACATCTCAAGACATCAGTCAGAAAGTTAAAGCTTGGTTGCAAATGGGTCTTCCAATTGGACAATGACCCCATTCTTAAAATAAAGTGGTAATCCTAACTGACCTACGACAGGGAATTTTTACTAGGATTTAAATTTCAGGAATTGTTAAACTGAGTTTAAATGTATTTGGCTTAGGTGTATGTAAACTTCCGACTTCAACTGTATATGCCTTTCCAAATCATGTCCAATCAAGTTGTAAAAACATCTCATGGATGATCAATGGAAACATGATGCACCTGAGCTCAATTTCGAGTCTCATAGCAAAGGGTCTGAATACTTATGTAAATAAGATATTTCCGTTTTTTATTTGTAATAAATTTGCAAAAATGTCCAAAAAAATAATTGTTTCCCTTTGACATTATGGGGTATTGTGTGTAGATTGATGAGGAATTATTTGTATTTAATCCATTTTAGAGTAAGGCTGTAACGTAACAAAATGTGGGAAAAGTCAAGTGGTTTGAATACTTTCCGAATGCACTGTATATCCATTTAGCCCTCTGGAGGCTAGTGGCTCGTACAGTGATATAACCAACTGGGCTCTCTCTTTCTCCCTCCTCGTGCAGACGTCAGCGTCACCACCGCATCACCAGTGGGGCCCTCTCCAGCGCCTCATAAGAATTCCACATTTGACGCAGCGAGCTTCATTGGGGGCATAGTGCTGGTCCTGGGTCTGCAGGCAGTGGTCTTCTTTCTCTACAAGTTCTGCAAGTCCAAGGACCGCAACTACCACACCCTCTGAAGAACCCACTCCACCCCCCCAAACCCTATCCCCTGGCCATTTTGATTCTCACAAACAGTGTTTCCAATCAGTGTTTCTCCCACAATCCTCACTCCTCATGCCATTGCGCTACCAACCTGTGGTTTAGGCCTGTAGCTTAAATACCCACATGGGTTATAAAGTGTACACACCCACAAGTGCGCCACGTTTTTTACTGTACGTAGTGCGCTACACATTTCTCACACCCTGGTGCAGCTGAAGTGAACTCCAGAGCAGTGGCATTTGAGCCTTCAGCACAGAGGATCACTATGGATTCCCCCTCTCCTCCCCTCTTCTCTCTCTCCTCCCCACCCCTCTTTCTCGTTCCCCCCTCTCCTCTCCTAGACCCCTCTCTCCCCCCTCCTGCACTCTCCCCCCAGAGTCATTGTGGCTGTTCTCCTGTGTGCTGACTGGATAAAAAGCAGCCTTGTTTACTGCTCCACTCCCCTGGCCCTTCATCTTAATGTCTTACCTACCTGGCCTGCCATTAAAAGACCCAATAGTCATTTATGTAAAGGGGCTTTCTGTTCTGTTGCTGTATAGTGGGGCTGCCACGGCTTTGGAGTACTAGCTTGTTCATGCACCTTGGTAACGCTTCAGAAACACTGTTTGAGGTCCCCTCCCCCTTTATTGTTGGGAATTAGATGACTGGACGATGCAGCATAGCTTTTCTTCTTGTTTGTCATGGGGCAGATCTGGTTAGGTGTTTTCACAACTCCTTTATTAAAGGTGTTGGATTAATCTGATGGCAAAGATGCCTGTTAAAGTAAGAATAAAAGGAGAACTAAAAGCAATGGTCCATCCTCTAAGCAGGGCTCTACAGTGCGACCACTTTACTCACATATGCACGTAAATATTTTGCTGTGCGAACTGGATTTGTTTTATTTAGGAGCACCAGTGCACCTAGAAAAATGAATGATTCTAGCTTTATTACCTCAAATATTTAGCATTGTGCTACTAAATGTATTTGTGTGTGCCTACATTTTTCAACTTAGGCGCACACGTGCTCCTTGTAAAAAAAAAGTCAGCGTAGAGCCCTGATAAGCTCAAGTTAGAATATTCTTTATGAAGAGGCCTCCATCTTAGGTGGAGGATGAGTTGCGCTCTCTTGGTGTTAAGACTCACTGCTGTGTGTGTGTGCGTTTGGCAAACACACCACACACTGCCAAGAGAGCAGCTCAATGCAATAAACCCAAATCAACCCCTAATTTCTACAATCCCCCCCATCTTTACCGACTTCAGCCAAACAGATTGCAGTGAAGTCGGACCAATAGACTTGAGATGACCCCTTGACCCACCACCTTCCCTTAACAGGAAGGAAATCACAATGAGCCAAGTCTTTAGGACACGGTTGAAGGGGTCTACAGATAAAATATTGTAGTAAATATATGGGAATGATAAATAATGGAATGGAGATGGAAGATAAGACAGCATGCGCCTTCTTGATGCGGACAGTGATGTAAGCAAAGTGCCTTTAATGTTAAATGTCAGTGACTTAAAGCAGAGGGGATGAGGGAGGATTATGATGATGCTCCTCTTCCTCCTGGCTGAGGCTTGAGACAGGACAGGAGCAGTATCGCTGATGAACAGCGAGAACAGATCCAGGGTTGGCCTCCATTCCATTTTAATTCAGCCAATTCAGGTAGTAAACTGAAATTCCACATTTTCCTCATAGAAAATAATTGGGAATGATTTACAATTCAGTTTACTTCATGAATTGAAATCGAATTGAGCCCAACCCTGAGAACCCTAGTATCCCAGCTGGACTGAATAGCCTTTTATTATTGAAGAGTAGACGGATACAGTAGTTGCTCATCATGGTCTTCGATGGATGAAGACCTATTAGGTATACATTGATTTATAATGGCATAGGTTGAGAAGTGTCCCCTATGCAGTCCAAATATATTTTATGTTTCATTAAACATAGGGCCTAAGTTCCCCACAGCTCCCTAGTGTAGTTCCCCCTCATATTGTACAGGCATATTCTAATAACCTGTGTTTTTTAAAATAGTAAAGGGTGGAAGGGCAGTTATAGGTAACTGCCAAAATAAAGGAAACACTTGAGTAAATAAGGGATACAGTCTATTGAAAGCAGGTGTATTAAAAATGGCGAGTTGCCCATGATTTTGGCTACCGTTGTTAGAAGAAGAGATCTGTGACTTTGGAAGAGGGGTCTCAAAGGAGCATAGGGGGTTTAAAGGGTGTGTCTCTCTCACAGGAGGTTGGTGGCCCCTTAATTGAGGAGGATGGGCTTGTGGTAATGGCTGGACCGGAATTGGTGGAATGGTATCAAATACATCTCAAACATGGTTTGATGCCATTCGCACCGTTACAGACATTATTATGAGCCGTCCTCTCCTCAGCAGTCACCGCTGGTGTCTCTGTCACCAGATCTCAACCCAATTGAACACTTATGAGAGATTCTGGATCGGAGCCTGAGACGGCATTTTCCACCACCATCAACAAAACACCAAATGATTGAAATTCTCATGGAAGAATGGTGTCGCATCCCTCCAATAGAGTTCTAGACACTTGTACTTCTATGCCAAGGAGCATTGAAGCTGTTCTGGCGGCTCGTGGTGACCCAACGCCCTATTAAGACACTTTATGTTGGTGTTTCCTTTATTTTGTCAAATAAATAACTGACTAATAATACCTGGTCCCTGAATTTAAGTGACTTTTAATGTTGAGACTTGGTCCTTTGCATTTTGGGAGTTTTCTTTTCTCCTATTGAGAGGCATCTTAGGCGAGCAATCAACCTTTTTTAAGTGCAGTGCCAAGGACAGGAGATGGATGTTGAACTACAAAGCAATGACTAGGTTTCCCAAGTTTAGAGCTCAAACAGTATGTCTAGTTCTTTGATTCGCTTGCTGCTAACAGTGTGATGTTGTCCCCTTTGTACATAGAGCTATCATGTCATTCAGTTGATTTACCTTAAAGGTTTGAACTTTCAATCATGTAAAATCAAGATGAAGTATTCTTTGAGTGTTTTTTCAGTAGCTTTCACTTGCAGCGGCTTCTCAATGTCAAGACTTCTCAGTTTTGTTTTGCTTTTGTTTCTCTTTTTTTTTTCATTATTGCATGTCAAACGCTTGGAATTGTAATATTTTCTGTTGAATTGTGCTATTGGATCTTCAGACACTTAAAAGAAAAATAACCACTTGATTCATTTGTCAAACATTATGCTAGAGAAGAGTATGCCTAAACAATGTGTGTTAAAGTCAAAGTTCTCAGTCTTGGCATGTAAAATGGAGCGCTTCACTGACAGCTTTGTTTTGTACTTTTTGCCTTATCGTTTTCGTGTTGCTGCCAAAAATGTATGAATGCTTGTGTGAGAACTCTTAGCTCAATATTTTCTTAATTATGAAAAAAGATCACCTTGCTTCGTATGAAAACAATCAATGTAATTTAAAAGTGCACGTCTTTGTCGTTTATTGGCCCTGATTTAATGTATGTTCTTGATCACCTTAGGCTTGCCTTTTAAAGATTAATCTGCAGTCACCCGATGGCTACGTCCCCAAGACCCCCCACCCCCCAAACTATGGCAAGTCAGAAGTACACATCTAGTTTTGCCTTGGCTGCATTCACAGTATGCTGAACATTTGAGTCCTCTTCTCTCACTCACACAAAGGAAAGTTAATGGCCAAATGTCAGGTGGAGGGGGCAACTGATAAGCATTTGTGAATCAGTACAGCATTCTGAGTGTTACTTCACCATTATTTCTCCTTGTGCCATTGTCTTAAGGACACAGTGATTAAAAATGTCTGCATACCGTAGGAACACACCATCTTGCAGTGAGTATTTTCTTTCAGTATTTGTCACAGGACATCGCCAGTACCCATAGCAACTGATACAAATATTCTGATTTCTTTTTTTTCTTCAGTGCCCGCGAACTAAGTCACGCAGTCCCTCTCCATGCACCTCTTCAAGAAAAGTGCCTTACTCAGTTGAACATAAATTAAGATTTGTATTTTTCTCTTAACTTGATAGTACACCCAGTAGATATCAAAGGGACTCCGCACTTCCAGACCCCTTGTAATGATTTAATCAAAGATGCTTTGTTTTGTGAGAGCAGCTTTAAATGTCTTTGTTTTCTCAGTCACACTCGACTTTGGGAGCCTAAACCAGACAGAAGAATGGGTCAGCTGGCCAGATTCACAGGCATGCAAAATACGTCAAATTGCTGCGTTCCATGACTTGAATTCCATGACTTAGCTACATTCCATCCTAGAATTCAATTTGTGTTCTTGACCTGAGAATGTAGCTGTCTCTGGAACAACTGTGTCTATGAGTATTCTACGTCTCAAACCCAGTTTGCTGATCTTTACATGTCTATGGCTCTGGGGGCAGCCACCATTTTTAGTGTGAAGCTTATGTTTTATAGAGCTTTTAAAATTAGTTTTTTTTTTGTTCTTTGTTGCTTTCTAACAATGTCCACATGTCATCTTGATCTTAGTCTGGTTAAATAAGAGGTCATGGGTCTTATGGAATGATTCCTCAGCTTTGCTCTCATGTGCACTCAGACACAGGTTAATATGTACACATACACTTGCTGTTATATTTAGCCATGATGCCTACTACTCTGTTTTATGTGTCCATTTTGCCTGGAGTCTTGTTTTGCCTTATGTTTTCTTTAATAGTTTTGCCATTAGATTGAAGATGTTAAAATCAATAAAGTTTGAATATTGTTAAACATTTTCTTGGTGTATTTACTGTTGCTGCAACTTCTATCACGTTTCATAGCAGGGAAATCTTATTCAGAATGCAGTGCAACATGCTACAAACCAAGACTGCAACAATGGAGCTCTACATTTGTGAAACAGTTTGGTAACCAGGACTCGAGCTTCAACCTCTTATCTGTGAGACAAGGTGGCAGGTTGCCTCAGCAACATAAGGCACCGAGTTCAGAAAGTACCTGCTGGACTAATATGAAGTGCCAACTGCGTTCAGGGCCCCAAAGTGAAGGTGTGGATGTCAGCGAC